TCTGTGCTGTATAATATTTGTACAATATATGTATTGATTATGATATTTGAGGTTTTAGCAATTTACTTCAAGTGTGGTGATTTCACACAATGTCAACATCTTTATTTTTAAATCAATATTCAGTGGAATAATATCTACTTTTGGTGAATCAGTTGATTTGAATTTCCAACTTTCTCTTGGAAATCCTTCCTCTTTCTCTCACAGACTCCCTCTGCAAAATCGGGCCATTATAGTCTAAACTGAGTAACTGAAAGCATGCTGAGGTCCTTCTCATTGTCTTCTGCTGCTTACAAGTCTGCTTCAAACTGACCTGTCAGTCCAAAGAGATTAACAACAACAAAAGATTAACTCCTTAATTCCAATTCATCACCTTTGCCATGACTTCATTTATATTTCTCCTATTATTTTTAACTAACCATCCTTATCAACTCTGGCAGACTTGCAATCTGCTATTGTCTTGAACTCCAAATACTAAGTTTAATATAGAGCATTAATGTCTTGGATTAATTTAGATATAGCAAATCATCTTGGTTTGAATAGGCACACTGTATTTCTGATCCCTTATACAAAAACAGATATACCAATGATTAAAGATTGCAATAAATCCTGTGGCGAGCTCCTATGAATTTCAGCTGCAGAATAATAAGTGTGGTGGCCAAAACAACACACAGTATTCCAGATGCAGTCTGACTAACTTCTTGTGCAGCAGCAATATGTCTCTTCTGATTTGAACTCTTCTTTTTCTGCAACAGCAAGGTAATTGTCTTTAATGCTACAAAGCACTGGGCTGATGTTTTCATTAATTTATCCACAGTAACTGCATGACCTGTTTCCCAATTAGTTTCCTTTTGACTAATGCTTCTGTTACATACTCCTTCTATGGGTTCTTGCGCCCACACTAATTATTTACATTTAGCAAAACCTACATTGAATTATATCTACCATGTACCTAACAGATTAATATTGTCCTCATTGAATGCTTTACTTCTAAATTTGATATCATCCATAAACATGAAGAGTTCATTTTGGAAAGTCTTGTCCAATTTATTCCTCCATTTTATATTTTTATATTTTATATTTTTATTTCAGATTTCTAGAATTTGTGTTTTTTCTTTTCATCTCAGCATGAACCAGATTACTCAGTATGAGTATCAGGAATACAAAAGAAAGTACAGCATATTCTGGTCCACATTTATTTTTTATATTGATTTTAGTTTCCTGCTTTCCATAAGTCCCATAACTAAAGAAGCTTCTACTCAGAATAGAATCATTGTTATCTAAAACATTCAAGAATTTTAAGTAAATTCTTAAAACAGAATATTGATCTCCTCCAGTGCAAATAAAGAGTATCGTTGCTGAAAATCATCTGCAAAACTCTTTCACCATCAATTTGGATGTAAACCAGCACTACCATTTATAGTGAAAGAAAAACAGCAAAAAAAAACAAATAAAAAAAAAGGCCATTATCTAAAGCCCTCGGGAAATTCGTTTATTTTGTAATGCAAAAAATTAGTTGTGGCTTGTGCCTGTGGATGCTGAGAAAGCCTTCAACACAATGAAATGGCTATGTTTGCCTTGACCCTGAAGCATTTTAGTAATGCTGCCATTATGTCCAAAGGTTCAAAACACTGTGCAAAAAATCCTGTAAATTCACAGCAATTTAATCAACATCTAAAAGGGAAACAAGAAGTAATCAGAGAAAGAGGATCATATTTGAAATCTTAACCAATATTCTTTTATCAGATGTTGATTGACCTGTTGTGGATTTCCAAAATTTTCTGGTTTTATTTAATATTTCCAGAATTCATTTTTTTAAATCACTGTATGTTAATTCTCCTGCCTTGTCCCACAGAATGGCATTATCTCGCTCATTTTTGTAGTCAGAAAAGGATTTGTGAGGATCAACAACTTACATTGACAATTTGATGCAAATTGTTTGTAGTGCTCATAAGGCTACATCTGATCACCTATGGTTTACAGATTTTTTTTCTGAGAGAAATAGGAAACTGCTATGTCTTCATTCTCATTGTCTTCGGTCTCCTATCACAAAACCAAACTACAGTATCCTGGCTGCAACGAACCTTTCTGGTAATCCTTCCCACTCGTTAATTACTGAGTAAAGAAAAACTTCTTGGTATTTGTCATGAAATTATCCTTTGCAACTCTAAATGTTAGCCCTCTTGTTCTTTTCTGGGTTTACTTTTCCATACCAAAAGAGATGTGACCTTATCATCTGATTTTTTCTGCCTGAAGATTATAAATAAACAGGGTTAGAGCAAATCCAAAGTGCTTTGATAAAGGGTTCCCCCATCCACTATTCCAGTCACCTGTCACCATTCCAATGTTTGGACTTTCAGTTCATGTACAGGGAGTACAGGGAGAACAGGATATGCACAACACCAGTAAGAGTCAGCCATTTGAGACAACATCTGTGTTCTTCTGACAGCTTTGAAGTGCTAGGGGGATTGTGGTATCTTTCTCTTGTATACTCTAAGACTCTCCATTAGCCTTCTTGGCCTCCTGGGCAATAAATCAGTTTTTAAATGACAACTGTTGGAAAGATCAGTGTGAAAAAAAAGTTTATTAAAAAAACTGATCTTAGCCATGTTGTTTAGAGTGCAATTTATATGCAGCATGAATTAATTTTAGCCTCATATGAGTTTATACCATTCTCACTTAGGCACAGTGTGAGAGTGTGTAACAATGCTATGTAAATGTAATCCAAAACAAGTTCAAATCTGTCAAGAAATATTTGTGCTGTAAATGAACTTTGTTCTAGAATTGTTTCCCCTGAAAATGAAGAGATCAGGTTAATCAGTGAATTAAAATTGAATTAAAATTGCCAGTTGAATGAACCTTGCAATTTATTTGGTTGGAGAAGTAACGGCAAACACCACTCTTTATATAGTGCCTTTCACGTCGGCAGGATGTCCCAAGGCGATGGTCAGTTAAGGGTTTGGAGGATCAAGAGGAGTGGAGGGTAGGGGTGGTGGGAGGAGGGAGGAGCAAGAGGAGGGTTTTAAATACGAGGATGAGGATTTTAAACTTAATCCTCTGATTGAGGATAGGGGTGAGGATGGGGGTGATCAGTTCACGGAGCTTGGTAAGGCAAAGTTCTGAATAATCTGCAGTTTGTAGAGGGAAGATTCGGTAAATCCAGCATAGTCAACCCTGGACGTAATAAATGCGTCAAAAATACTGATTACCTTAGAAACCCAATTTGTCACCTAACAACTGATCAAGACCAGTGGAATTGATTTTTATTTTAACACTTGTAACTATTGTGTAACTTAATAGTAACAAAATATTTATAGCATACAGATAACTTATTTAACATGTGCCTTTTCATTTGCATTTCTCTGAAAAAAAATACTTGCTTTTGAGGCCTGAATCATACAAATTAATTACTTAATTTAAAAATGGGCTTAAAAAATTCCTATTTTGAACATGCATTTGTACATCCAGCGCCTGGAAACCACCTTGATTGGCCTGAAAGAGGTAAGCAGTTGCTGTCTAAGCTCCACACCTCCAATTTGTGGAACCATTGCTCAATGGGAAGGAACGTGTGTCCAGAGTGTGTTCAGGGGGATGGCAGCAATGCTCACACGCATTTCATGTTGAACTGTTGGCCTCCATCCTTTGGAACTTCTCCTTGCTCCCTCCCTTGCTTCCTTCAATGCACATCTCAAGACCCTCCTTTTCAACTACACCTTTGGACACCCTAGTACCTCTATACTCCACCCTTCCTATTCCCAGCCCCCGGCTTGGGTCCAAACCTTTGACTATCCAGCACCTTGGGATATCCTTCCAATGTGAAATGCAATATACAAATGTAATTTGATGTTGTTGCTCAAACTAGAAAATATTCAATAAGTGATGGGAGTGGTGGTGGGGGGAGGTAATGTGACTTATTTGGGGTTTTGTGTTCAGCATATGGGCATTAATATACCTTTCCAAATTGAGAGCCAGGCTCCCTGTCAAAATCTGTGACTGATTTCTACCCTCTGCTCTCTCAAAAGCCATGCTCACATTATTTTCAATAGGCCAGAAGCTTAGAGTAAAGAGTCTACAAAGGATTTGAAGATTGTCAAGTTATTTTGAGATTATCCAGAGAAGAGTGAAATTGTGACAGGCCCATTCCACTGCACTGATAATGAGGGTTTGGCCAGTCTGTGAAGGAACGGATAATCAGCCCTAAAGACTGTCATAATGAATTTAGGTCACTTTAACACAGCCTCATCCATCCACATTCTAGATGCCAGCACTGGAGGCTGGCTAGAGGCTGCGGTAAGCCTCAGGTACAAACTCAAAGTGGATTAACTGTAGTGATCTCTTGATTTATTCAGAAAGGATGAATGATTCCACTTTAATTGGTCCAGAACTTTGAAATAAGTCAGATTAGTCAGATCTGTCTTGAGACAGATGTTGTTAATTTACCAAAGGTTCCATTGGCCAGTGTTTTAACAAAGAAGCTGATCAAGCCTCCAGATATAGACATTGATGCTTTATCCCTGGCTGTATAAAATGATAAAAGTTTGCTACAATTCTTGTTCTTGAAAGGGGGTTGCTCCTGGAACTTAATACAACAGTTTTCTTAATTAAACAAATCTCTGGTCTCTTCAACATTTTTTTTCCAGACAGGATGGTCTTCTGGAAGGATAAGATCAGACAGGCCAAAGGGTGTACTTCATCCTAATCTCGCTTGTAAAATGATCCGTTATTTGAAGTTAATTATCTTTCCTTATAGAGCTTCTTAGATTTGCAAGTACATTTCATCTTCCTTGCTCCCTCTCCCAGAAGATCCAGCTTAGATCAAGAAATGAAATTGTACATTTCGTGTGGAGAACCTGCATCTTAATACTCTTATGAAACACGAGTAGAACTGTCGCAACAACAAACCAGTGGTGCTGTATTTCTGAGATTAATGCTCTGATACACAAAGGAAATGTCAAAATGCACTAAATTATAGACTTACTGTTTTTTATACAAATAGAAAAATCATGATACAAAAGAGTGATAATCATGGAAATTTTAATTGCATGAATTATGAAAATAGAATTATTGTAATCAGACAATTGAAAAAGACGAGTTACAAATTTGAACATTCTGTGACTGGAACACTAACTTCATGAACTGTAAGCGCACTATTCAGGTTTGATTAGGAAATGCATTCTGAACACACAGTTCTTGGAAGATTTAAAAATCGTGGTGTGAAACAGAGAGCATCTTTTCTGTTTACCAAAGCAGAACCTAGACATTTTGACAAGACGGAAACATAAACGTAAGTTTTTTTTTGTGGGGAGAGTTCTTTAAAATATAACACACAGCATCAGTCACATTTTGCAAACTGCTCACGTATTCTTCAGAAAAAAAACTCTTTGTAAACCGCTCGTGTACTGGAAACCTCTGTAAACTGCCAACTTTGCTCCAAATCTTTAATGCACAAGCCACAGAGTCTCAAAGCAATAAACTACCAACAATAGAGCCATAGAACCCAGAGAGTGTAAATAACAGAAAAGGCATCGCAAACAGTTCTTGTATGTAGTGACCTTATGACACTCTCAATTCTGTTCTGCAATAAGTTTCCAAAGAATTTCAATGGCTCAGTAGCAAATTTTTTATATACAGTATAAACATTTAGAAATTATAAAGATGGCTCTCATTTCATTGATTATTTTGTAAACATACGACTACATCTGCAAATCACAGGAGTCTTTTTTCCCCCCCCATCGTTCGATCATTTTCAATACATAGAGTGTTCCAATATTATCAATAGTTACAAAGGTCTGGAAATCAGCTGAAACGTATATAACCTTCAAGTTTGTTCCATTAGTATAGAATGTCTGTAGAAATTCTCCATTTTCCAAGTCCCACCACTGAAAAAGAAAGACAATATTATTTCATTATTTATTTTTATTTTTTATTTAATTTTTACTTCTGTAAATGCTAACTTGATGTATTTGTAAGCAAATGCGCCAGATTTTACATACTGTACATATGTAACTAGCCCATTAATCTGCCCTCTGTTCTTGAGGCCAGATAATATTCTCATTAGGATCACTGTCCTGGCAGGTTTTCATTAACCAGCATCAAACATGCAGTACTATGCCTCACTGCAAAGCCAACCTTATTTGTAGCACCATAGCCAGGCAAGCCCTTTCTCTGTGTCAGCTCTGGTACAGCTGCAGCTTGTGAATTCTCATACATTTATTTACTTTTTGAAAGACCCTGGTTCCTGCAATGACATTTGTCATTTTTTTGTCTGACTCGCCTCAATCAGAGAAAAATAGAATTGTGGTATAAGGAGCTGCATAAATTGCAGTCTGTGCATGCGTTGGGAGGTCTGCCTTAATACTCTAGTTTATTTTCCTCTGACAGTTCAAGTGACCAGCCAATACTGCTCAGCTCTTCCGGCTTTTTTGTTGGGTCAACCAGGTGCCTGACACATTCAAAACCATCATCATGCTTAATAGTATCTAAATCAAACAGAACTCCACGCCTCCTACCTATACATGGAAATTCTAGAGATATTTATTGGAATGGAATGTGCACTCTCTCCCTGGAGAACGAATCCCTTTTACCTAATCTGGAGAGTGATAATAGCCCTTGCATTTGATATATAATACTTGCATTTGATAAGGCACTTTTCACGTCTTTGAGATGTCTCAAAGCGCTTCACAGAATATACTGTAAAGTGAATTGACTGTATATTTTGTGGGTGAAATGCAGCAGCCAATTACGCACAATAGTGTCCCACAAACAGTCGTGGATTGAGTGACCAACTTTTTTTTAAGGAATTATTATCCTCAGAAAAGCAATCCACCAATCGACTAACAACCGGGTTCGTATTTACTGCTTGGTAAACAGAGGCATGTGGAGTAAGGAAACTTGCCGAACATTTCGCCCTGCCTTTTCGAACCGAGGTCTCTCACTTGTGAGGCAAGTGCTCTAACCACATAGCTACTAATAGGTGCAGGTTGGCAAGAGCCAAGGCTTGGTGTGTGTTGTTCAGCTAATGAAAGTCTGCAGCAACTGTGAAATAGTCCTATATGTTCATGCCATGATGCACACATATATGACCTGTCCAAGTAAAGCAAGAGTTGGGCTTGGCTGAAGGCAGTAAAAGAATGCAACGTGCACAATTAGAGGAAACAGAAGAGGGACCAGTTACATGGCTTTCTCAGCTGCCTCCACAGATGGAATATGAAGACTCGCATTGGGCCATGGTAGTACTTACATAAACTGCTATGTTGTTTCACTTGGAAGCAATGTTAACTAATCAGTTAAAGTTAAAACATGTCTCATAGACTTCAGTAAAATACATTTACTTTGTTTGGCTGCAAAACAGAGTTCAGTAGTTCCCGCCCAGCAGAGGATTGGCAACACTTCCTCCATCCTATTGCCTTTCCCATTGGACAGGAAGGGGACCGATTACAGCTGATTAGGTGTGATTGACAACAACAACTTGCATTTATATAGCGCCCTTCACACAGGGTAGAGTCCCAGAACGCTTGACAGAGGCAGAGCATGACGCCGAGCCAGGGGGGAGGTGACAGTAGTGCGGGTGAGTCTGCAGGCGGTGGAGCTTGGATCCTGTGCATGGTGGAGCGAGCTGGGGAGACTGGCAAATAGGGCATTTGAGAAGTCGAGTCGGGAAGTGATGACTACATGGACAAGTGTTTCGGCTGCATCTGAGGTAAGGTACAGTCAAAGGCGGGCAATGTGGCAGAGATGGAGGAAGGCAGCCTTGGTTGGGGACCAGATGTGGGGAAGGAAGGGCAGCTTTGGGTCAAACCTGATGCCAAGGATGTGCACCAGTTTGGTAAGTCTGAGGGATAGGCTGGGGAGGTTGAGGAGGTCAGAGCTTCAGGATAGAAAACGTTGGCAGGAACCAATGAGTATGGCTTCAGTCTTATCAATATTTAGTTGTAGAAAGTTTTCACTCATCCAGGCCCTGATGATCACCAGACAAGCTGATAGGACATCGGCGGACTAGGAGTCGCGGGTGGAGGAGAAGTAGATTTGTATGTCATCCACATACATTTGGAAGCTTACCGTGCCTGTGGATGACATCGCCAAGAGGGAGCATGTAGATGAGGAAGAGGAGGGGGCCAAGGATAGAGCCTTGGGCTATACCATGGGTGACTGGGCAGGGGAAGGAGGAGAAAACGTTTGGAGAGATAAAGGCGGTTGGTTAGGTAGGACTCAAACCAGGCTAGAGCCATGCCTGCCAACAAAACGTCAGGATTGAGGCAATCTTCTGTGGCAGTCTCAGTAGTGTAGCAGGTTCTCAGTACTCCAACGCAATGCTGATTACAGACCAGTCAACTTGGCTGGCTCTTCGACATGACTTTGAGGAGCAGACTGAGGGCAGGGATTCTTCCACCTCTCTCCTGTAACCCTGCAAGTCAAAGCCATAGCAGGTGCAGTGGTCCTAGTGGACAGTGATATTAGCTGGTAAACGCACACTTCAGGGACCCCAAGTTTTGGCTCTTGCCAACCTGTGCCTAATAATCTCCAGAATTAGGTAAACTGGGAGAGTGTGGGAATTTGGGAATTTCCATGGCAGACAAGGAATTCTGTCTGGTTTGGATACGCTTAAGCAGGTGATGGGTTTCTGCATGTGCCAGACCTGTCTGACCAAAATAAATCACTTGAAAGAATTCTAAAAACAGATAATGCTACGCTCAGTATTGTGCAGCTGAATATAAATACTTAATATAATAAATTTGTAGTTTCTATCAACATGCAGAGAATTAAATGAACTAATGAAACTTAAAGAATTACAAAGCATATGAAAACAGACTACAAACTATGCAGAACTATAAATCATGTAGAATTTCAGTGTTAGTTTACACTTTTACAAATCATTTTTCACAAAGGAATTCCATGTTGTACAAAGGATGTGTATGAAACCACTTCCATGTCAGTGTTTATTAAGGTTAGCTTAATCTCACAGCAATTTATTGGAAGTAGAATGTTGTAAAGCTTTTTCCATTTGTACTTCCAAGTGTTCATTACGTCTTTAAATCCGCAAATCGTTAGGCCCGCAGTGCAACATTTAATGTAGAGTGAAAATTAAAATGTACAAAATACAAGGCCAACATCAAGGTTGCAAGACAAATTGGTTTTAAATTCAAATTGAAAAGTACCAGCTAGAGTTCCAAGGCAGATCCTCACGTTTTAATGCAAAATTCATAATTGAATAATGTTGATGGAGAAAAATGTTTGGAATATTGATTATTCATTATTTCTGGAAAAAATGTCAGGTTTCAAGTGATCACTTTGCCCAAATGTTTAGAAGGGGATGAAGATCATTTTAGTACAATCAATAAATAACATACATGAAGATGAATAATAGAAGTAAACAAATCACACTCGACAATTAATGCTAAATTCTATTTTATTTATTCCATCCTTTACTGCTTCATAACAATATTCCACTTTTGTTTCTGTAATGTTCTCCCCACAATGTACTCTTTTTACTTTCAGGAAGATACAGTGGAGGATGAAAACATGCCAATTCTATATTCAAAAATATAGGTAGATCTGACTGGTGAAGACTTGGTTTGGGAAATGTTTCTATTATGTTCCATCTATTTTGAACTGAAGAATGGCCCTGACAATTCAGCTTAAGAGCCCAAAGTTAAATGCATTTGTTCAATCTTAACTGCATTGGAGCGTCACTTAAGATAGTCCCATGCTAACTGCAAGTCCTATCATAGGACTATCTTAAGTGAACCCACAACATTCTGACTCACAGGGAGAGGGTAACCAACATTTGATAGATTCTGAATGCATTGTTTCATCATAATTAGGAAAGAATTATCATTTGTCTGTGCTCGATTTTAAAGCACATACAGTCTATTCCAGCAGGAGACACAGAAACAAATTACACAAAAATCTGGTCATCCAATTGTTGCATACCATGATGTAATTAAGCGCTCTGAGACCCACCCTGTGTGGAGGACGCTATATAAGTGCAAGTTGCTGTAATTGGCTCCAATGAATGCAGTTATATAATATCTTGTCCTGCTGAATCTGCTCTCCACTCCTATCCCAAACAAGGCAAAGGCAGCAATCTGGCTGATATTTGGGGTAATTAAAATGCAAGTAGGACACAGTGATCGATAGAAAGATATATGCTGCACATTCTTGATGCATAGCATCAGGCCTACGCTGAAAACCAGGATTACACATACACTCTGGTATCATACAGGTAAACCAGAAATTCTTCCTTCCACTAATTTGCCTCACTGAACAATTAGTGTTTGGATAAGTAATTGTAGTTTAGGAGCCTGATTCCTTCACAACTGTGTTTAATTCAAACTGACTGATAATTTCTCACGTTTTTGATAGCTTAAGAGCCCAATGTTCAATTTTAACCCAGTTTCCAGAGGACACCACTTCACAGAATAAAAATGCTCTTAATTAATAATAATCCTTGTATTTTGATACATTACCATGTCATTGAAATGTTGCAAAGCGCTTCACAGGATATATTATAAAGTGGTGTAACTATATATGTTTTATGGGTGAAAGTGACAGCCAATTTGAGCACAGCCTCTTCCACAATCATAGAGTGAGTGATCAATATTATTTGGGGATTGTCAGCCAGGACACTGGGAGAAACTTCCTTCAGGACCAATTATTACTACATTGGCAGTCTCATCCAGTGAAGTTACAAGGGGGCATTCTTGTGTTCCTGGGGTGTGAGCTCAGTCATACTGTTCAGACAGAACACAGTTTCAACTGTCATGTGAATGGATATTTGTGATAAATGATTTTATCTATCTCCCTCAATCCTTTAAATCAATGATTACAAAAAAAATCACATTGTTAATAAGACTTGCACTTTATAGTGCCACATCACCAC